GATTCTTTTTTTTTTTTTTTTAAATATATCTTTATTGATTTCAGAGAGAGGAAGGGAGAGAGAGAGATAAAAACACCAATGATGAGAGAGAGTCAGTGATCAGCTGCCTCCTGCAGGCCCCTGACTAAGGATTGAGCCCGCAACCCAGGTATGTGCCCTGACCGGGAATCAAACCGTGGTCTCCTGGGTCCTAGGTCGATGCTCCCAGGATAACCCAGTGAAGGGGTGGAAGAAACAGGTCAGGGAAGGGGAGGGAGCCAGGCAAGGACACAGACTGATCCAGCAGGAAAGCTCTGGAGTATAAGTAACACCTTAGAGTTTTTCCCACGCTAAGTAAAGGAATCGAGTTTTCAGACCCCTTTCCCTTACCCTGCCTATCAGGTGTAGTCTAAGAGTTGCCTTGTGGCAGGGGATCCATAAGCTCCTAAGAACTCCTGGCCCTCTGCTCATGTGGAAAAAAGCTACAGTAGCCTCAGGACAGTCTTCTAAAGAGCGTCTCAGGTGGCGGCTGTTGGAGGCAAAACTCCTAACAGACTTGGTGAAAGGAATCCAAGGTCATTTGGCAGAGAACTAACTTAGTTCCACAGACATTAAACACAATCACGATTTTTCTACCTTGAGCAGGCTCACAGAGATGCTTCTCCATTATGATACTAGAAAGTGAAACCACTCAGGGGCAATGGGAAAAGTTGTTGGTCCCTGAGCACAGAGGAGGCCTGGGAGAGCTTAGATATCCCAGTGCAAGTCCTTCAATCATTTCCAGGAAACTGACTGGAAACACTGTAAGGTGATTTCCAAAGAGCTTCAATATGCTTTAATGTTAAATTTATGACAGAGAAGTTAATTTCATGTACTAAAATTCATGTTACTCATCCTTCATCTATGCCATGCATCATATGATGTCTTAGACATTTTCCAACTATGATTCCATAATGCTCACCCATACATACAAAAAATGAAGTGACAGATTATTAAATCACATTAAGTGCTATTCTTTACGGTGAGACTTTTCATTCAATTCCAAGAGAAGTAAAGCTGTGATGACCAAATGTTTCCCATAATTAATGTCAGGCGAATGTTATGCTATTGTGGATTTATTTGTTATTATTGTACTTTGTATCTCTATCACATTTATGTTAGTCATGGGCTTGCAGTTATTTTTATGTTTAAATATTTTTATTATATTTTTGTCGATTTTACCCACAATCCAATTATACCTCCTAAAGATTTTCCATTAGTTATTTGCACCATGTTTGAGACCGCCCGTTACAAAATCCCACTAGAAAGTTGTATCTAATTTCTGACTCTCAGTCTCCTCACATAAAATGAGGATAATAATACTTAGCTCACAATGACTGTTGTAACTATTAGATGTGAACAATGCTGCTACTGATGATGATCAACATTTGTTGTTGTTGTTGATGCTCCAACTTTGTTATTTCCTGTCTAGCATCCGCTCACCCTTCCTTTAGTACTACTGTACCTGGATTTCCTTTGGGGCAATCCCACCTTTAGGACCAGGGTATGTTCTGGTTGTCTTAATCCAGTCAATGTAGCTCACTTCCCTGGCCACAGTGACAGCTCAGGATGGGCAAATAATCTAATTAGGATTAGGAGAATCAGGCCCAGGGTATTGGTTGGAGAATCAGAGGAGGAGAAACTCTCTCCTCTCTTAGTCTGGTGCAAGGATGGGAGGCTTGAACTTGTTGTAGTGTCCAAAAGAAGCATACCTGGAGCTAGTGAGGGAGGCAAACACTGCATGAAGTCTGAAGGTGAAGCAAGCCAACACAAAGAAAGACCAAGAGATTCCAGGGCCTTGATAAGATCTGAGCATCTGGATCAAACCATGCTGGATAATCTTACTGACCAATAATTTCTTTTTACTTTTTGAGCAGTATGGGCTGGGGTTTCTGTCAGTTGCAATACAAGGACTGTGATGTAATATAAATATTACCTAGCATTTATTGAGAGCTTATAATATGCCAGACACAAAACTGTGAGAATCACATAAAATGCATATTCAAGCCTCACAGCATCCCTATAAGCTATGTCCAATTATTACATCACAAATGAGAACGCCAAAGCCTGGGAAGTTAAGGAATTTGCCCAAGGTCACACAGACAGTTGTGAAGCTGCCAGGAGTGAACCCAGGAAGTTTGATTTGAGTCCATTATCTTTACCATCATGTTTTTTTCCCCCCTTTTTGCCTCTCTATATAAAGAAAAATGTTTGGTTATGTAGTGATTTTTTTTTTCCCCACCTCACTCTTGACTACATGTAGAAAGATTCCAGCTGCACTGAGTGAATCCAAGGTACTATTGCTCTAGTTTAGAACATACTATATTGTCAATTTCTAGAACCAGCCTTGAGGTTGTTTCTCTGACTATAACTCAGGTCCTGGGTTATGAATCTCAAAAGTAGGAAAGTAGAAAACCAGATACATTAACTATTGATCACTTCTTCATGTGAACCAAGGCAAGACAACTCCTGCTTATGTCTGAATTGTAAAGAATAAGGAATAAAGAAAATGTTTTGAGACTGACCTTGCTCTGTGGATTTGTTTTTGCCTATATGAAAATGAATGTTTCCTCTTTTTAATAGGATCATATCATGTATTCATTTTGTTTATCCACAGAGACCTCCAAATGATGAATACATTTTTAGTAAATCATATTAACATATATGATTATGTGGTTTGCAGTATACAGTCAGTCTGTATTGAAGAAAGATTTCCAAAAGAATAGATTTACATTTATTATATTATTCCAAAATTAGCTGTACTAATCTTTTATATTATCCCTTGAAGATTGGAAGTCATCAGATTTTTTAAGCCTGTGACATCAATTTGGCTCATAACTTGACTCATTGCATAACTGTTTGACTAATCTGGAAGCATTTCCTACCTTGGGTTGAAGTACAAACCACTCATCACTTGGATTTTCAAAGTTCCATGAGTCAAAAGGAATCTCCACCTCCCCGAGGAAGCTATTATGTCCAAATCGATCATAATGCCAGACTGAGAGCTGCAGCGTTCTTGTTTCCAGCTGGGTATGGCTGATAGTATACTGCAAATGAGATCGACAACATCACATTCCACATAAAAGGCTCTGCCCAATTCTAGGACAGGTTGAAATTTATTTTCATCATCTTTCAGATCAGATGCATCAGTAATATGAACAAATCAAACACAAAAAAAGCTTTATTTTTCTTTGTTTCTGCTACAACTGAGGTTCTATTCCATAAACTCATTTTGTGTTAGACCTAGCACTGAAAGTTATATCAGCAAAATATTTAGGGGGAGTCAATAAACTTCAGATATTGTATTAAAAAATGTTAGGGGATGAAGCTTGTCCCCTTTCCAGTTTTACCTGGTTTTCATTTGTCTAATTATCTTTTAGACAACTACTTTTGCAAACTTAAAGTTTAATATATCAATTCTTCAACTTCTATGTCTTATTTTATTCGTAATGAGAACTCCCAAATCCATAAAAGTATTAACAGTGAGACACCTGCAAACATCAAACTTCATAAAGTCCAGCCTAGGGGCAGGCATGGAAATATAAATAATATAAATATAGAAAGAGCAGAAAGAAAATATTGCTTGGGTAGCTTTTCCTTTTCCAGCAGAATATTATCCAGGACCTCATGCTCACATACCCTCAAACCTTCTGCTTGTTTTATGCAACTACCACCTAGGACATGCTTCAGACTGATTCCTGATCTTGGGTTTGTGTCTATACCCCTTCTTTGCTGTTCCAGGTATGATTAACCTTGGCTCCCTGATTGCTGAATTTGCCATGTGACTCTGTTTATCTAGTCTGTGTGGGCTCAGCTCTGCTAGCCTACTATGATCACTGGATTAACCCTCTCCTTATATTTATTCATTCTCATTTTGATCTGCCTTGATATCGGCTTCTGCTTTGCACATGATCCCACTGACACATGCCCCCACTCACCAACTTCCTGCTTTGCTGGACTTTGAATCTATCACTTTAGGCACAAGATTCATAAATTTCCCTGTTACTAGCAATAATCTCTATATTCCAGTCTCCCTGATCTTCCTTACCAGGCTAGGTTGCTCCAGGGTGAGAGAAGGGGTTGTTACATGGAAGCCCAAGGAGAAAAGTAATTTCTCTAGGATTGAGGCCTGAGCCATATCTCATCTAGGCCACTTTCTCTCATATTTCTCAAATCCAACTCTGCATCTCCACTGTTCATTAACCACATGCTTAAATTTAGCCAAGTTCTGAAAACTTAACAAGAAACAGCACATATTCATGCTGTGTTACCAGAACAATGAGTGTGTACAAAATGATCTGTTAAGTCAGTGACAAACTTCCTTTTGGGGGCAACTAGGGAAAACAGTTTTCCCAAGGGTGAAACATATTTTTTGGACAAGATGTACCAGCTCAGATGTAATTTTGCTGGCTCATCTCTACTTAAGTTGCAACTTTAGCAGCAGCAGAGAAATAAACAGAGTAAGAGTGGTTTACACTGTTTCTTTTCTAAAAACTGTCAGGAAAGCCAAGACTATTACATTAACTTATTCAAATTCTACTTTTCTAAAATATACATAAGCCTTGACATGCACATTCTCTGTAGTTACTTCTAAACCAATGAGGTTGTGAATAGTATCACTTGGGTTACTATGAAAGACTGTTTATTTACCTTTAGTGTTTCATTGAATTCTGGATTGGTGCCTGTTCTGATTTTGGTCTTGCGCTTATTGTTTCTAGACTTGTCAGGAAGAAGGTATGACTTGACATAACTGTAGATGATAAAAGATGAAAGTAATTATTGGGAAAAATCTACTTTGCAAGAAATAGATACTTTAGTGAATAAAAGAGTTTAAGAGAGTAGGCCAATAAATGTAAGAGACAGAACCAAAGAGAATATAGTCTACATAACAGAATACCTTAAAGACTCTGGGCCTTCAATAAGAGAAAGCAGCAGTGAAGAGTGGTGGTAACAAGTGTGGGCTCTGGAGTCATGCCAACTGGGTTTAAGTCACTGTCTGCCTCATTAGTTTTGGTGAACTCAAGAACTTACGTGTGCTCTCTGTGCCTCAGTTTTCTCATCTGTAAAACTGGGACAGTAACAGTATCTAACTTATGGAATTGTGAGGATTAAGTCACTTGATATATATAAGGAACTGACATACAACTCAAGAAGAAATATAATCTATTATTATGATCAGTGGTCTCAGAAAATATCATGGGGTTATAATGCTCTCTATTCAGATGTCAGGACTTCCTATGAGTGAAGTCAATGGTAATGGCAGAATGAAGGAAAATGATGAAAAAGAAGAAATAGAAAATAACAACCTAAGTCATGATAGTAATTCTACCCAACACTTTGCTTTGAATTATCCCAGGAACCTCCTGGAGCAGGGGCATCATGACAGACTCAGAAATGTAGAAGATATACAATATTCTACCAAACTTCTGAAGCACATCTACTTGGGCTTTAGATGACCCCTTTCCATGTTGGTCTAAATTATTATATTTGTCCTGAAGCCCACTGATATTTAACTGAGGAAGTAGATGGACAATTTGTACTCAGAATCCATTGTTTTGTCTATCTTAAGATACTTGGAAACAGCTTTGCTGAGTTGTTTATTGAATTTAGGTTATTTAGTATATAGAAAAGGGGTCACATAACTGGCCCGAGAGTGCTTATAAGGTTGGTCCTTGGCTGGTGTCTGGGAACTTGGATTTTAGGAGGATTTTCATCATTCCCAGAATAGATATAGTTTAGTCACTGTGACTAAACTGTAAAAACAATATGGCTTATGCTGAGTGTCTGCTTTTTTCCTGGTAGACTGGAATTTTGGTATGTGACCAGTTGAGTCTCTAAATGAGCTTCCCTGGTAGACAGCATTGCACAATGTTGCCACAACCTGGTGCTAGAGGAATTAAGTGTATCCTGTGTGACTCCACTGGAAGAGAATACTTAGAAACTTAAGCCTAGATTCTTCAGAACTTCATCACATATGCCTCTTTTCTTTGCTGATTATAACTACATGTGGAGTCCTGTGGGTCCTCCCAGTGAATCATCAAACCTAGTAGTGATCTTCAGAACCACTGACACATTTTTATTTCCAGCTCCCCTTCAAAGTGCCGTGATTCACACCTACCCTCCCAGACTGATCCCTGAAATTCCATGAGCTTCAAAACTGCCCTTTTGAGTTGTTCAGATGTGCTAACAGCTTGGTAATTTTCTCTGGGGGATTTCCCAGAGCAAAAGTTAACTCTTATACATCCTGGGGTATGCCAACGTGTCAGCCTTCTATCTCAAAGAGCTGCCTCTGTGCAAACAACAAATATGTTAGTCCTAAATTATGTTGAGTAATAGCTTCTTAACAATCAGGTAACCACAGACACAGCCATTATATATGCATTTTGGAGAATATTTAGAAGTGTGGCATAGGAGGAAAGTGACAATCAACCTTCCAAGGAGGCCATGAATCAAGAGGAATGCTAACAATCTTCTGAAAAAGAAACATATACTGAGCAAAATAATTCAGCAATTGAAATAAACTGAGGAATATGCTATGTGCTTACGCATCAGTCCTCTGTTTCTTTTCATCTCCTATGGCCAGATTTCTGCAATTCTTGACAAAAATGTAGAGCCCGCCGGTTTTGTAGCAGTAGCTGATGTGGAGAAGGATTTCACCACTGACCTTCACGTTGCCATAGTCTCCTGTTTCACTGTAAACACTCATCATGCTGTTAAGGCTGGTCTGGAATAAACAAGATAAAACGAGGAGTCCAGTGTTATACTAAAGATCTCTTCACAGAAACCACCTCTTTCATTCAATTACAATTCTTGTTCTTTATGATCAGCAGGGAAGTCTAAGGAAAGGGAAGAAAGCAAAAATGACTTATTTTGCTTAATTTTCTGATGTTATTTATAATCCAAGCCTGAGAAAGGGCAATACTATCTAGGACCGTTAGTAAGGAAGGCAGGAAACTTGCCAAGAGGATAAGCATTGCTCTTTTGGGTTAGTGAATAGCCTTTGTTTATTCATTTTTCTAATGAATACAGAGTCATTGAGGCATTCCAAATCCCATCTCCTCTCCAAATCCTGGTAGCTTTCTTCTTTCTCACTAGGAGGCTCAAGGTCAACCTACTTCAAGGTATAGAATGCATTCATCAAGACAAGTAAAAGCTCATTTCATATTTGCTAGCAGGAGCCACAAACTTCTCTCTGGGACACCCCCAGAGAGCATCTCATTAGTCTTTGGAAAGCCATAACTGCAGCTTTAATAAGGGCACCCCTCAGCAGCTGCGTGGCCACCTAAATAATGTAAGACCTTGGCTTCCTAAACATCTGTAAAATAGCAACCCACAACATTGAACACTAAACAATAAGATAACGCCAATGAATAAGTAAAATGTTTTAAAAAGTCCAAATGAAGTTTCTGACGAGTCACTAATGGCAAGAGGCATATTTTCAATCAAATGCAACAAAATTAGTGTTTAGTGCCAGAAGCAAAAACTCTGTATCTTAGCAACATGACTATCACAAAAGACCACCTGAAAGGCTTTTATGAGTGACTCAATAGTCTCAAAAGTCTTGTCCTTGAACCACTGGGAAGTAAGGACTACAGTAAATGCAGAGAGCTTCGACTTTCCACTTTTTCATCTATCTATCTATCTATCTATCTATCTATCTATCTATCTATCTATCATCTATCTATCATCTATATCTACCTATCTATCTATCTATCATCTATCTATCTATCATCTATCTATCTATGTGTATATATGTATACACACACACACACACACACACATACACACACACAGGGTGGGGCAAAAGCAGGTTTATAGTAGTGAGTAGGTGAAACTGTTTATTCTTGTATTATTATTCATTAAGTATTGTATTAATAGCCATACTACAATTGTAAACCTACTTTTGCCCCACCCTGTACATATATAAAGCCATTACATTCTTCCAATTAGAGTCAAGACTAATCAAAGAACAGGATGTGGGTGATGTGGCTAGTATCTCTTCTAAGCTTAAGTGAAGGGCAAGAGCAAACCAAGGATGCCAAAATTCCAGGCAGCCTACCATATCCACAAATTCCACATCATGTGGATACCAAGGGGGGACTGTACTTGGAAATTATAACTTAAAGAGAGCCAATGAGTGACCTAATTTGTCTTTCCTATTCCTAAAATAAAGCAACAGAATTGTAATGATAGTGGGTGGCTTTGAGCAGTGCTTTTCAAACTTTAATTGCCTAAAAATCACCTAGGGATCTACTAAAACAAGCATTCAGGTCTATTCTATCTCAGGTGGGGTTCAAGGTTTTGCTTTTCTAACTACTAGGTCCACAATTTCCAAACTGTGTGTTGAGGCATTCCACAGCACTACAGCGAACTCACAGGGGCACCACAGGTATTTTAAAATGTCAAGGGAAACACAGTGACATCTATAAGACATCACATAAACTACTAACAGTAGTTCACAGTGTCGACATTAAATTTTATTTTATTCTTTATAAAGTCATATCTGTGTGAAGTTGAGTTTTTGGCAGTTGCTGTGACAAAAAGCAAGTATTGCACAAGAATCAATGTAGAACAAGAAATTAAAGTGGTGTTGTGCAATCAGATTCCAAGGTTTGACAATTCATATAGTGCCCAACAGACAACCGGGTGAGTGCACATGCCTGGGTTGTGGGCTCAATCTCCAGTAGGGGGCATGCAGGAGGCAGTAGATCAATGTTTCTCACTCATTGATGTTTCTATCTCTCTACCTCTCCTTTCCTCTCTCTTTCTCAAATCAATAAAAACATATTTAAAAATAAATAAAATAGAGGTCTTTATTCTAAGGGTATCTCATTAGTCATAAATAATTTTGGAGCATGTATCTTTTGACTGATACTCATATTCTAATATTTAATGAATGTTCTTCTTTTTGGAAATACTTGGATTTTGATAATGTTATTTACCTTTTTAAAGAGAATCTCTGGTTAATTGAACGCAAGTCAGAAAAAGATATATGCTGGAAAAATTGCCCACCTAATCAGATTTTCTGTAGCATGAAATTTGTGAAGTATGGTTGGAAAGAAGAAAAAAGGAAAGATTGAAAACTCACAGTGTCTAAGTCAGCATCGGGCACATTTAGGTAGGTCCATTTCCTGTCAGAGCCTGCTTGAGAATTCTTTAAGGAAGTCACCCAAAGGTCAAAAGGAAAAAGGGTATTAGAACAATAGACAGAATTTAGAGAAGCAAAGAAAAAGACTTTTAGGCACATAGATGGGTAGAAGGTCACAGGGGCTCCTAAAAGCAACCTCCTAAGGAAAGTCTGAACACTAAAGTAAGAAGGGTCTTTATTCTGTTGGTAGTGGAAAATTATGGACAGTATTTGAGTAGGAGAGAAAGTTGATTGGGTATGTGTTTTAGAAGAATGACTGGCAGCAGTGTGGAGGACAGTTAGGGAGTTGAGAGAATGGTGGCAGGGAAATGTATCGGCAGAGAATTGAGATCACTTATAGGCTTGAGCTGATAAGAGCCTGAATAAGGAATTGAAGAGGTTTTAAAACCTGTGTGAGGATCAAAGAAGGAGAGGGAAGCAATCAGGAGCCTTAGGAAAAGCCCACATAAAATTGGACCAAAAAGTATTCTGTGGGCAAAGGGCAAGCAGGAGACTATAATGGCTCTTAACTCACTAATGCACATTGTCCCAAGAACATTTCTACCCCCTTTGGAAATGTACAGAAAATCAACAGTAGAAAGAAGAAATTTCCAGTGCATGCTAGAGAACTGCTTACTATTGACGGGCCACTTGCTAGGCTGTGGGTGTTTGCAGAAAACCTGGAGGACACTAAGTCATCAATGCCTTCTTCAGTCTCTTCCAAGGAGTCCTAAGGAAGGAGAAAAATATCAGTGGTTTGGTGTACTGCTTTCCTAGAAAGTCTTTTCACTTCCAAAACCACGTTCTTTTTTAAATACCTGAAAAATCAGACACAAATATCTAGAAATCGCTCTATTCTAGGTTTTTCTCTTTTTCTCTCCATTCAACCCGAATTATGTCATCAGAAGAGTGGGATTTCCCTCCTAGTGGAAGCTTTATGGAAAGAGCATGAAATTTAGAATCACACAAACCTGGATCTTCAGTTCCTACCACCCTTATATCTAAGGTGATTTACTTTGGGCAATGAACTTAATTAAAAAAAATGTTGGGCCTGGCCAGTGTGGCTTAGTGGTTGAGCGTTGAACCATGAAACAAGAGGTCACTAGTTTGATTCCCAGTCAGGGCACATACCCAGATTGCAGGCTCAATCCCTGGTAGGGGGCGTGCAGGAGGCAGTCAATTGATGTTTCTATCTCTCTATCCCTCTCCCCTCCTCTCTCTCTAAAATCAATAAAAACATATTTAAAAAAAAATTTTCCGTCTGTGTGTGTGTGTATGTGTGTGTGTGTGTGTATACTGTCAAGATGGGTGTTTGGAGTGATGCTCCAACCAACTGAGACACCCAGCCAGGGCTAAAATCATATTTTAATGGTTTATATCAGGTTTTTAAAATACATTTTTAAAATATGTTTTTTTAAATTGATTTCAGAGAGAGAAAGGGAGAGAGAGAGATAGAAACATGGATGTGAAAGAAACATGGATTGGCTGCCTCCTGCACGCCCCTTACCTGGGACTGAGCCTGAAACCTGGGCATGTGCCCTGACCGGGAATTGAACCAATGACCTCCTGGTGCATGGGTCAATGCTCAACCACTGAGCCACATCGGCTGGGCATTTGTTTTAAATTTGTATTTTACTAGGTGTGATTGTAAAGTTTTGTCAATAGTTTTCAGTATCTAGTAAAATAGTATTGTATTTTCTCCTTTAATATATTGAAATATTAACTATGTAATAGTTAGAATACTTAGAATAAAACTTACCCTTATTGCTATATTTTTCATTCACGGCTAGGTTTTACTTAACTTGTAATTTTTAAACTATTTTTAAAATGAAGTTTGAGTATGAAGTTTATAATAGTTTAAAACTATAAATTTGAAGATTGTCAGAGTTTTCTTTGAAGATCAAAAACAATTTAATAATATTGGAATAAACTGTTCTTTAAAGGTTGAATACAAGTACCTTTTGAAACCATTTGATCTCATTATTTGTCCCTTTTTAAAAATATATATATCTTTATTGATTTCAGAGAAAGGAAGGGAAAAGGAAAGAGAGAGAGAAACATCAAGGATGAGAGAGTCATTGATCAGCTGCCTCCTGCACAACCCCCACTGGGGACCAAGCCCGCAACCCGGGCCTGTGCCCTGACTGAGAACTGAAACCTCGATCTCCTGAATCCTAGGTCGATGCTCAACTGCTGAGCCATGCCCAGCCCTTACTCATTAGAAAGTTTCATTGGTGGTGGATTTTAAAATACTTCCCCTGCTATTTATACTATAGTAAATAACACTGAGTTTTAGAACTCTAACTTTCCTTGCTTGCTTTGGAAAAATTATATTAACATCATTTAATATTTGTGTTATATCTTTCTTCCATGGAGTTCAAATTGCATTATAGCAATTACAGAACTCAGAATATCAGAATATTAGAAATGGAAGGAACCTTACCAATAATCTAATTCAACCTTCTCATTTTATAAATGAGTTCACTTATACATTAATTTTCTAATAATTTAGTCTCAATTAAGGAGATAGTTTATTGAGGGTAACTTGAGATGTAGGAACATTTATATAAAATGCATAGTCAGATTAAGTCTAATATTTTATTTAAGAAATGTTGATATTTCCCATTTTCCAGGTTTAGATTAAGTAATGTGCTTTTAGGCAGGAATTGAAATTCCCAACAGGTGTTTCTTAGGGATAATCTTTACAGATTTACCTGATTACCTCTTACGTTCTATAAATCATTCCTTAGTTATTTTTATATGTTGGTTGTGAAGACTAATAGGAAGAGATCATCGAATATCCTCACTTTATCCTCAACTTATCCTCACATAAAAGTGGAGACAGGTTTTGAACAAGAATGTGCCTTTTCCTCATGATCATTAGACTATCTTCTGCATCCAACTTACCAAGTCTTTGTCTAAAGCCCCAGGGACAGACTTGCTTCTTAAATTTACAGTATCCTCTAAGTCTTCTGTAAATGACCCACTCAAATCTAACTCAGATTGACTCCGATCTGGAGGAAGGAAGAGAAAAGAAAAAATATGAATCAGCTTACTCTTTAGAAAGTTTCATTTTTCATTGTAAATCTTTCATCTTTATTCCAATTCTTTCTAGGCATGGGGCATAGATAGTGTTATGAAAGCAAGTAAGACTCAGTAACTTTATGCTGTTTGTGCTAACATACTTCCTTTTTAAAAAATATGTTTTTATTGTTGACACTATTACATATGTCCCCCATTTCCCCCCCTTTAGCCCTTTCACCCAGCCCCTACCCCCTCCAGGACTTCACAATCTTAATGTCTGTGTCCATGGATTATGCATATAAGTATATAAGTTCTTTGGTTTATCTATTCTTGTCCCCCCAAACACACATTCACACACCAAGACATGTCAATCTGTTCCAAGCCTCTATGCCTCAGGTCTTATTTTTCTTTTTTAAAATATTTTCTTTCTTTTTTAATTTAATATATTTTTATTGTTGACAGCATTTCAGATGTCCCTCATTCCCCTCCCCCCTTTTATTCCCCTCCACCTAGCTTGGGTCTTATTTTGTTGGTCAATTTATTTTGTTCATTAGATTCCACAAATAAGTGAGATCATGTGATACTTGTCTTTCTCTGATTGGCTTATTTCACTTAGCATAATACTCTCTAAGTCCATCCATACTGTCTCTGAGGGTAAGAGATCCTTCTTTTTTACAGCTGCATAGTATTCCATTGTGTAAATGTACCACAGCTTTTTTATCCACTCATCTACTGATGGGAATTTGGGCTGTTTCCAAATCTTAGTTATTGTAAATAATGCTCCTATGAACATAGGGGTGCATATATTCTTACTGATTGGTGTTTCAGGTTTTTTAGTATATATTCCCTGAAGTTGGATCACAGGGTCAAATGGCAGTTCTATTTTTAATTTCTTGAGGAAAATCTATACTATTTTCCATAGTGACTGCCCCAGTCTGCATTCCTATCAGTAGAGAACTAGTGTAGTGTTCCCTTTTTTCCACATCCTTGACAGCACTTGGTGCTTGTTGATTTATTAATGATAGCCATTCTGACAGGTGTGAGGTGATATCTCATTGTGGTTTTAATTTGCATTTCTCTGATGATTCGTGACTTTGAGCACTTTTTCATGTCTCTTGGCCATTTTTATGTCCTCTTTGGAGAAATGTCTATTCAAGTCTTTTGCCTATTTTTTAATTGGATTGTTTGTCTTCCTTTTGTTGAGTTGTATAAGTACTTTATATATTTTGGAGATTAGCCCCTTATCAGATGCATCATTAACAAATATGTCCCCCCACACAGTTGGTTTCCTTCTCATGTTGATGATGGTTTCTTTTGCTTTGCAGAAGCTTTTTATTTTGATGTAGTCCCATTTGTTTATTTTTCCTTTATTTCTCTTGTCCTAGGAGATGCATTGGTGAAAATTCTGCTCCGTGAGATGTCTGAGATTTTACTGCCTATGTTTTCCTCTAGGATTTTTATGGTTTCATGTCTTACATTTAAGTCTTTTACCCATTTTGAGTTTATTCTTGTGTATGGTGTGTGTTGGTGGTCTAGTTTCATCTTTTTGCACGTGTCTGTCCAGTTTTCCTGGCACCGTTTGTTGAAGAGACGGTCTTTATTCCATTGTACGTCTTGCCTCTTTTGTCAAGTATTAATTGAGAGTAATGGGTTGGGTCGATTTCTGGGGTTTCTGTTCTGTCCCATTGGTCTATATGTCTGTTCTTGTGCCAGTACCAGGCTGTTTTGATTACAGTGGCTTTGGGGTATAGTTTGATATCTGGTACTGTGATCCCTACAACTTTGTTGTTCTTTCTCAAGATTTCTGCAGCTATTCACAGTCCTTTTTGGTTCCATATAAATTTTTGGAGTATTTGTTCTAGTTCTGTAAAGTATGCCATTGGTATTTTAATAGTAATTGCATTGAATCTATAGATTGCTTTGGGTAATATGGACATTTTAATGATGTTAATTCTTCTAATCTATGAACACAGTATATTCTTCCACTGGTTTCTATCTTCCTCTATTTCTTTTTTCAATGTCCTATAGTTTTCCGAGTACAAGTCTTTTACCTCCTTGGTTAAGTTTATTCCTAGGTATCTTATTTTTTGTTGTTGCAATGGTAAATGGTATTGTTTTTAGTTTCTCCTTCTGAGAGTTCGTTATTGGTGTATAAAAATGCCATTGATTTCTGGGTGTTGATTTTGTATCCTACTACCTTGACAAATTCATTTATTAAGTCTGGTAGTTTCCTGGTGGAGTGTTTAGGGTTTCCTATATACAATATCATGTCATCTGTGAATAATGAAAATTTTACTTCCTCTTTTCCAATTTGGATGTCTCTTGTATGATAGCTGTGGCTAGGACTTCCAGTACTATGTTGAATAAGAGTGGTGAAAGCAGATATCCTTGTCTTGTTACTGTTCTTAAGGGAAACATTTTTAGTTTTTGCCCATTGAGTATGTTGTTGGCTGTGTGAGTGCCATATATGGCCTTTATTATATTGAGCTATGACCCCTCTATTCCCACTTTGCGGAGAGATTTTATCAAAAAAGGGCACTGGATTTTGTCAAGTGCTTTTCCTTCATCTGTTGATATGATCATGTGATTTTTATATTTCATTTTGTTTATGTGTTATATCACATGTATTGATTTGAGAATATTGTACCAGCCTTGCATCCCTGGAATAAATCCCATTTGATCATGGTGTAAGATCGTTTTAATGTATTTCTGGATCCAATTTGCTAATATTTTGTTGAGGATTTTAGCATCTGTGTTCTTCAGGGATATTGGCCTGTAATTTTCTTTCTTTGTGGTATCTTTATCTGGTTTTAGAATTAGGATAATGTTGGCTTTATAAAAAGAGCTTGGAAGCGTTCCTTCCTCTTGGATTTTTTTGGAATAGTTTGAGGATAGATGTTTTAGAATGTTGGGTAAAATTCTCCTGTAATTCCATCTGTCCAGGACTTTTGTTAGCTGGAAGTTTTTTGAATACTACTTCAATTTCATTTGTTGTTATTGGCCTATTCAGGTTTTGTCATTCTTCCTGATTGAGTTTTGGAACACTGCATGTTTCTAGAAATTTGTCGATTTCATCCAGGTTGTCCATTTTGTTGGCATATAGTTGTTTATAGTATTTGCTTACAATTCTTTGTATTTCTGTGGTGTCAGTTGTTACTTCACCACTTTTGTTTCTGATTTTTTTGGCTTGGGTCCTCTCTCATTGTTTCGTGATGAGTCTGGCAAAGGGTTCATCGATCTTGTTTATCTTTCCAAAGAAACAGCTCTTGGATACATTGATCTTTTATATTATTTTTTTTAGCCTCTAAGTCATTTATATTAACTGATCTTTATTATTTCCTTCCTTCTACTTCTTCTGGGCTTTTCTTGCTTTTCTCTTTTTAATTCTTTTAGTTGTAGGGTTAGATTGTTTATAAGAAGCTCTTCTTGTTTTTTAAGGTAGGCGTGCAGTGCTATGAACTTCCCTTTTAGGACTGCTTTCACTGTGTACCATAGATTTTGGGTTGTTGTGTGTTCATTTTCATTTGTTTCCAGGAAGGTTTTTATTTCCTGCTTGATCTCATTGGTAACCCATTGATTGTTTCATAATATGATATTTAGCCACCACGTATTTGAGTGTTTTTGAGATTTTTTATTGTAGTTGATTTCTAGTCATACCATTGTGATCCAAGAAGATGCTTACATACTTCAATTTTTTAACTTTTTTTTTTTTAAATTTATCTTTTTGTTGAAATTATTACAGATATCTCCCCCTTTTTTCCCCAATTGGTCCCCTCCACCTCGTTTCCACCCTGCCCCCCTCGGGCTTCACCACACTACTGTCTGTGTCCATGGGTTATGCATATATGC